GCGCTCGGGGTACGCGGGACACCGGGCGGGGAAGTACCGGCCTGGTCGCGGTGCCGGCAGGAACCGAGCGCCTGGGGCCTGCGAGGCCGGGGCTGCCGCTCCGGGGGAGGCGCGGGAGGCCGAGCGGCCCTCTGGCCCCTGGAACGGTGGCCGGTTCTCGGCCTCCCCTTGCTTCACGACCCTCTCCCCCCCCTGCTAGGTCGGAAAAGGCGAAATGAGGAAGGTTCCCGTGCCGGCCAACAGGTACACTCCGTTGAAAGAGAACTGGATGAAAATATTCACGCCTATCGTGGAGCACTTGCAGCTTCAAATCAGGTTTAATTTGAAAACAAGAAACGTTGAGATCAAGGTAAAGAGAGCTCCTTCTCCTCCTTTCCCAGCTAATACCCGAAATGCAGCGCCTCTCCTCGTAGGTGGCGGTGTTGCGTGGCGTATTAAGGACTAGGGAAGCGTTCTAAATCCCCCATAATGCTTGGAAAAATGGAAACGGCGTAGTTTCACCTAACCAGAAAAGCCTCCATCTGGCAGTTATTGCTTAGAAGCAGGTAGTTAATGTAAGTGAAATTCAAAAGTGTTAATCTCTTCCAGAGGGGGCCAGCATGAGCTGGGGCGGGGGGAGGGAGGTTCGATTTATACAGGAGAAAACTCTGTACTCGAGAATTAAGGAAGAGTCTTAGTCTGTGTGTTGGATATGATTTTGGAATGCAATGTTTTCCAGATATTTAAGGCTACTAAATACTTAACATGACAAGTTTGAGTTAGCAGTGCCTTTTGAGGGGGCCACCGAATCTTCCAATGTCTTTTGTTTGTGGCAGAAGATAAGGGCCTGTAGTTTAATAGCTTGCGATTTTTCTTTAATGGATTGCACTGAAATAGCTTAGGGTACAGATACCAACATATAATTGTAAATCCTGTAGATGCTCATTCTTCATTCTTACTCCCTCTCAGAAATATTCAGACTAGCTGTTTTTAATTGTATACCCAAAGCTCATGCTATCTATGCCTTTGGCATACATCAACATTGCTAATACAGTAACTCATGTGTCATCTCTCCCTTAGTTATTGTTCCCCGCTTTTCTTTTCTTACAGCTTCAGACTGCTCTTTTCTCAGTTGTCCCTGTTAGCATCTGTAAACGCAGATGTGCACAAACGTTTTGGCTGGTAGCAGAGGAATGCTTTGGCCCAGTTTTAGAACACGAGCTGAAAAAATGCCCCCTGGCAGCAAATCCTGTGGCCTCTGCTGGGGGCTGGGGGGGAAGTATAAAACTTAAACACTCCAACGCTTGCTGATGTGTCGATTTGTTCCTGTTCAAGTATCTTGTTCGAGCTGAAAAAATGCCCCCTGGCAGCAAATCCTGTGGCCTCTGCTGGGGGCTGGGGGGGAAGTATAAAACTTAAACACTCCAATGCTTGCTGATGTGTCAGGTCGATTTGTTCCTGTTCAAATATCTTGTTTCTCTTGTCCCGTATGTTTCATTGAACCTGTCCCTGTTTCTAATCACCTGCTGAAACATCTTTAGCATGTCGTCATTAGAATAACTTTCCTTTCCCAAGCTGTCTCCTGCTGCCCTTCTCTTTTATTCTCCTGTTCTGTGTTGCAGTTTAGTTTGGGGTTTTTTATTTCATGAAAAAGGTTCTTCTTGGTCACCGGTGGTGGGGATTTTCAGCAGTTTCTTTTTTCCCTCCCCTCCGAACACAGGCTCTGGTAGTTGGCGCATTCTTGTGGCTGAGGGTCAACATTATAAGGAAGCACAAAAGTTATCACTTGGGTCTTTCAGTAAAACACCATATAGGAGCGTTACCTAAACATGGCTTTTTAACGGTTAGCCTTCATCCCTTAGATTTTTCAAGTCCTGATCCTATTTGCGTGGTCTTAATTTGCAAACGTAACTTCTTGTCTTGCAGACTTGTCAAGAGACAAAGGATCTCGGTGCTCTAACAAAGGCAGCTGATTTTGTGAAAGCATTTATACTTGGGTTCCAAGTAGAGGTGAGTCTCCCAACAGCTCGATCGTGAGATTGCTTGAATTTGCTTGCATGAAGTCTTTGGCCTCTCCGCAAATTACAGTAAGAAAGAAAGAAAAATCTTTAGGTGGTTTTCTAGAAATAAATTTGATTGAAATTGTGACTGGAGCGGAAGTCTAGTTTCTTAAGCTAATGCAGAATGAAAAGGTAGTCTTCAAACAGCACATAATTAAAATTATGAAATGGAGGAAATATTTAATGGTATGTGAGAGGCAAGCAGGAAATTATATTCTGTCTGGCTCTGAGGTGCTCTGCATATGTAGAGACCGTTCATTTTGCTTTAGTCCCAGTCAATAACCATCAGTCTGTTCAAAACTCAAAATTTACTTAGAGACAACAAAACCACTTTTTGCAGTATCGTACAGGCTGCTCGTTGCCGCAGACTTGTACTGCCTTCACTAGTATAGGGGGGTCTGCAGTGAATGTGGGGGTCTACGCGTTTGTAGGGTTCTCTACACAGAAATAAATGCTTATATTGCTATTGAAAAAATACCTGATCTAACCTCAGCTGGCTGTTGTTCGATATGTGAAGTGGGGAAATACTACTGATGTCATCTGTTTATATGTGTAAAGAAAACATATAAGCTTGCAACTCTGTTGCGGTACTGTAACACTCATGCTGATAACAAATCTCTTAATATTTTAGGATGCTCTTGCTCTCATCAGATTAGATGATCTTTTTCTAGAATCGTTTGAAGTTACAGATGGTAAGTAGTTTCTGCTGCGCTATTCCAAGTAGTCATGTGTACCGTCTGCAAATACATTTTTTGTTTTGTTCCCCCCCCCCCGCTCCCCTTGTGTCACTTATCCCCAGGGATCAGGAAAACCTTCATGCCAATACCTCGAATTACTGTCTAGGTACAGGTGGCTGGAAGGGGTTGTCAGTTTTGCAAGATGTTCCGACAACACCCCCCAAACCTGCATCCTTAAAAGCGTGTCACTTTGTCAGGTTGATTGGATTTTTCTTGTCACAGCGTAAATGTTGTTTTAAACTTAAAGGTGACATGGAGTGTTTTGGGAAATACATCCACTAGATTTTTAAACTGGAATGGGCTTTGTTCCTCCCGCTATGGTGACAGGGAGGGGTGGGAAGTAGGCAGCAGAGACGTTTGTTATTTCATGTATTACTGGGACTCCTTGGAGCAGGCTCCAAGGAGAGCAGCATCTCAACGTGATCTGTTTCATTTCTACTGGTGTTAATTGCGTGCACTCTGGCTCCGTTTCTTTCCTCAATCTTTATTGCTCAGTAATGAAGAGAATGCCTTCCGCTGCAGTTCTGTATGAGAATTTCTCCCTGATGCCCGTGGTCACGTACCACTGGATGTAATTTTCGCTTCCAGTTATATAGGTGAATATAGATACGTATCTATTTCACCTATAGTAAAGTTGCTTTTGTATTACTGAAAATGAGTTGTTTCCAGTTAGTTGAACAAGGGAAGCATTACAGAAATACACACTGCTGCTGTTTTACTGAGTGTATTACTCTCGTTTTAGTCAAACCTTTGAAAGGAGATCATCTGTCAAGAGCAATAGGGAGAATAGCAGGGAAAGGCGGAAAAACAAAATTCACTATAGAAAACGTAACCAGGACACGAATAGTTCTTGCGGACGCGTAAGTACTGACTTCCTTCCTTCTAGGCAGAGCCCAGTCCCTAAATTAATCCATGTCCTCTTCCAGGAACAAAGCTAACTTGGAATTTTTTGAAACTGTTGTAGAGCAGTAGTAAGACAAACGATTTAAGTGTTATTTTTAATGAACGCTCTTTTGAGTATTTATTTGACCTTTGGAGAGCAATGACAATGTCAGCAGCACACCTAGAATTAAGTGATTCTACACAGCATAAGAATTCCTTCTTGCAAATAATCAAAGTTGAACCCACCAACCCTACAACGTTTTCCTCCTAAAGCTGCTACACTGTTAAATTTGCAAATTGTAAATTATTTTATGAAGGATTTAGAAGAGCACAGGTTCTATGCTGTAGGTTGTCTGATTTTGAGTGTTTGGGTTTTTTTTTAATTACAACTGTAGAAAAGGAACTAGTACGCTCATCTGAAATCCATGTTCATCTCTCAGATGCTTAGACTGATGCTTTATTAACTATGTAATCACAAGGGGGGGTGTTCCATTAGCTAATACTACTTCGACTGCTTTTTACAGGAAAATTCATATCCTGGGATCTTTTCAGAACATTAAAATGGCACGAACAGCAATTTGCAATCTAATTTTAGGTAAGTCCTGTAATCTAATCTTCTCCATTACATCTAAATAGATCTTGCAGTCTGAGAAGCTGCTTTCTGTGGGTCTTGTCCCCTTCCCTTCCCTGGTGTGTCCACACCTGCATTTGGAGCAGGTAGCTTGTTGGGAGTCATCTTATCTTGTTGCCCTTAAGAGAAGGGTTTGGGGAAGCAAACCCCAAAACCCTCTCCATGGTGCAGAAGGAAGACTTTCTGGTTTTTGCTTTAGCTGCAGTATTCCCTGAGCAGCTGTTTTGAAGGCACTGTCTAGAAAGCCAAAGGGGGCAGCTGGGGCAACCCACACCAACAGCTTAACTCTGCGCTTGCCGTAATAGACAGGGTGGCTAACCTTGGCCATCCTCCTCACCCATGGACTTATTTCTCCACTTTTAACAGACATGAGAGCAAAACATCCGTTTCTGTGACACACATTATCTTGTTTGCTGACTGAATTTATGCTTTCTTCTGCAGGAAGTCCTCCATCAAAAGTTTATGGCAATATTCGGGCAGTGGCCAGCAGAGCAGCTGAAAGATTCTGAGCTGCAGCACGGCTGCACCACCAAGGACTGGGGCTGGGAGTCAGGGTTTCTGTATGCATGAGAGGCCTGGAGCGACAGAAGTACTCGGTCTTCCGCTTGATTTGGAAGCCCAGAAGAAAACCAGGACTGTTTGTGCAGTCTAATTTCATTCAGACACGCTGTCTGATTTGAATACACTTAATATTTCTGTATAGTCATTAAAAGTTATTTTAAATTGGTTGTGTCTATATCAGAAGTATGGGTACCTGATTTTACTGAAACTTGTCCTCAAACAAAAACATGCTTCATTACTGACTTTCTGAACATCAAACTATTAAAGAGATGGCTGTGAGGACTTCGGAAAGCCTTTGAGTTTGAGCCTAAAGGAATCAGCCTAGTTAAGCATTCATAACCACACATCATGGATCAGTATCTTCCTGGAAAAAGGAAAAGGAAGTGTCAACTGGAATGCAAAGTTCAATGGCAGGCTGCCCGATGAGTCTCTGCTAGTGATGGGACAGTGTATCACACAAAAATGGTAAGAAGACAAAGAGGTAAATAGCGTATTTGAACTTTATCCTGGAATCTGCACCTATATATTTTATTTTTTTTATTTTCTCACAAGTGATCTGTAAGGGCAGCCTAGTGAAGCCAAGAGCCTCCAGGTTAAGTACTTGCCAGCGTACCAGAGCACAAACAACTGTGAAGTGCTGTGACTCCTCCTTAAAATGCTCATGTATGCAACAGAGCAGGGGGAGAGATGACACAGCCCAGCCGCAGTCCCAATTTGACTTAAATGTGGGCCCTTTTGTCCTGACCTTGCCAGCCAAACTTGTTACCAAGTCTCTTGCAAAATAATTCAGTTTAGGTTTGTGAACGAAAAAAACTGAAGTGAGATTATCCAAAAACACTAACAAATTGAGTAAGCATTTCTCTCAAATGTCTGAGTTTCCAATGCAGCACTTTATAGCCAAATTCATTCAAGCCTTCAATTGCTAGGAGATTTAAGACTTGCCGAGTTACCTAAATATACAGCTCTCAACACTGAGCTATATAGGGGAGAGTGTCCATTTTGAGCACCTCAAGGTAAAACAGTGCACCAACCCCATTAGCACGTTTTCTGTTCATTGGTTGCTTATGTCATTTACCTCGATTAGCTTGAAAGGTAAGGGGAGAGCGAGGCAAGGACACACAAAAGTAATGTAGTCTTTATCCTAAAGCAGGTGCATACCGATACCGACCAAGAGCAGTAGAAAGGGAGAGGGCAGCACGCAGAAGGCCCAACCAACTGCAACACAAAGAGCAACAGCAAGCAGCTTCTGTGCTGCTTCTGTGAAGGACGTACCTGCTGCAGGGAGGATTGTTTTCACCAGCAGAGCCCTCCAACCTTTCCTTGAGAAAGAAGCTGCCTTTCATTCTCCACCTACATTAAGGTTAGGGATTTTTTTTGTTTGTTTTGTTTTTTAAACCACCTTCCACTTACCACAATCATTCTGAATTTGGTAGGATTTAAAACAAGAAATTTTATCCAATTTGGACATGTAGCAAAGAGAACCAGATGTGCCTTTACAAAAAAAATACGCAAGTGGTCTTGAAACACTGAAATGAAGCCTGAAAGTATTCAGAGGACTGCCTGCACTCAGTTTTTCAATCAATCTCTATAATTGGAGAGAGGACAAAAACTATGAACAGCAAGTTTTGTTTTCTTTAGAGCAGGGTGCAGAGCTGCCTTAAGTTGAACAGGAAAGGTCTAGGCAAGTACTGAAGCGCCCCAGCCAAGGTTCAAATATTTTATTTTGTATTCATATAGTATGAAGGTTCTTATAGTTCCCACAACATATGATGTAGCATGCAGAGGAAAAACTAAACATTCAACATAAATCATTTTTCCCCACACAAACAAAAAAAAACAAAAAAAAAAAACAAAACCAAAACTGCCTCATCCCTCCCCTTCCAATCCCCCTAAGGAAATAACATTAGCACTAATTTCTATAATGCCAGCCAAGATATGCACAAGCAAGTAAGAGAAATCGAAAGCATTTGCTAAAATGTTTGTAACAAATACTTATGTACAAAAAATTCACAAAAGACTAGTTCCCCCTTGAAGCAGAGCACATGGCAGTTGACACTGGAACAGATACAACCACTGGCTGGGATTATAAGCCACGTACTGATCCAGAGGAAGAAAAAAAGTTACATGTAGTGGAGAATTTTGTTTTGAACATTAACATTTACCAAAGTTTGGCAACATTATCTTTTAAATTATGCAAATTATGTAAACAAGAGGAACATTTCAAATCGATCTACATGCAAAACTTCATGTCATGCAAGGACACCAAGCACCTGGATTTCTCTCTCACAGACAGAGCCCATGATGTGCAGCACTCAGTTGAAGGAACAGCTATGGCAGACAGGTGCTCGATTGAAGTAGGTTCAGACAACCTGCACTTTCCACTGCTGATTATAAAATTTTTTTAATAGAAAAACTACTATACAGGAAAGATGTACTGTCCTAAAAAATCTAGCAAATGTTTTTCTTCCAGCCAATAGTACCATTGCAGAAAAGGGAAGGGATGATAAAAAGTTGTAAAACATGGCTCGCTACTTTTATATCACACAAATATATCAAGTTACCGTCCGTTACAAATTATGATATGGACAAATCTAGAAAAGAAAAAAATTCTCCAGGCAAAGCACTGGAGAACCGCAAGAGGTACAAATTTAGATAGTGTGAAGTTTTCCTCCTCTATGGCATAGGTTAACAATTTTTTCCCCCTGTATGAATCCTATATACATATATATATATAAAATATTACCAGTTTTTTATGCTACCTGTAGTATTCTTTAAATGCAGAGGGGAAACTATCATGGTTGAAACAACAGAATTTAAATGGCAAGAACGTTTTATAATCTAAGTACTGTATAAAATAAGTAGATGGGAATCCTGCACAGTTACGTCAATCCTAATTTCGTTAGGCTAAGCACAAGAGAAAGTCGTGAATGCGTCCAACACCTTGAGCAGCTGTATCTAAAACGAATCCAGAACAGCAGATTTACCTTAACTTCAGGACAGCTGTAACTGCTCCGCCTTCCTAGGTGACGAAATCTAGCAGCCATCAAAGCATTCTGCGGTTACTATATGCACACGAGGGCTAGTTCTTGGCAGTAGCATTAAACTATATTCTCATATTAAGTAGAACTGTACTAAGTTATTTAGCAAAGAGACACAGTCCCTGGTAATATATTAACAGGTATAAATAAACTTAGTCTCCTGTGTTACAAAAAATGTAATTAAGGTGAATTAATAAGAAGCAATGCTTTGTCAGCCAGTCAATATATAGAAACATCTGAACAGTCACAGGAAAAGGAAAAGAGTTGACCTAACACCCAGTTAAAATTTTACATTCTTCTACTATATATATAAAACTGTGTGAAATAAAAGTAAGGATGTATATCCATATATTGAACTGTTAATATTCTGCTTGGCACTTTGTACTCTAGTTTTGTTTCTGAATCAAGTATATTAAATTAAAGCCCACCTAGCTACTACATATAGAAAGCTACATATATATCTATATATAAATACACACACACATATATATATATAGATAGATATTTTCTTGTTATAAAAGATGAAGAAAAATAAATTAAAAAGCCAACCCCTTCCCTTTCTCCACCATACTGATATGCTCTTTCCATCTTTGCTGTCCTTCAGACTTTAAAGTGCTACACTGAGTTATTGAGAGAATAAAAGTTCAATAACACTTAGTTGGCTTCATGAGGCTCATGTTGGAAAATGTGGCTTCACAGAGAAAAATACTTCCATTTAAATACACAGAGAGCATTGCTGGACGTCTTGAGCAGATCTTCAGAGATGGAGAAGAAAGCAAAAGTGTTGGGTGGTGCCCTACAGAGTCACACGTCTACGACCATCTTTTTGTGGATATCTAGGCCTCCTACAACCTGGGAGAAAAACAAGCGTTCATAAACAGATGAGCATTGGAAGTTAGCAAGATACAAAGAAGGAACTTTGTTCAGAAGATGCTTTCGGGTCAATCGTAATTACAGGACTTCCCTGGCCTCTCCGAACTAACTGACATTTCACAAGTACTGTGTGATATGTGAATGAATTATGTGTGAACCAAGGTAATTATATTAGTACAACTTACACACTCAAGGGCCTGAAAAACAGTGTTAGCTACACCATTTTGGCTTTCCTCCCCCATCTCATATTCTGACCTTGTATTATGTTTCTGCATGTTACATGAAACGCTAACTTTCCTTCTAAAACACCCTGTAAAACTGTGCATCTTTACAGGAGAAGCAAAGGGCCTTAGGAAAGGCGGAAGGATTTCTGACAAAACTGCATGCACCCAAAAAAGAATTACCGGTGTTCAAAGGTGTACAATTCACGCACAGAGAAAGGAAAAGGAAAGGTGTGATGTCAGAGGAACTTTTTATAATGCGGAAACAAAATTCAAAGGCCAAATGGTATGGCCAAATGCCACAAATGAAAAAGTATTTTTGTAGATAGATGGCCCTCCCCCCAAAAAAAAAAATCAAAGAAGGTAAAACGCAAGAACAAAAGGATGAGAGATTGTAGGAATGAAAGGTGTCTTGTCAGGAGGTCAACAAAAACTGAAGAAATTTAAAGAAAGATAGAGGAAAATCAAATAGCAGTACAAGACAGGAAGTCTGGGCAGAAGCCCAAAGACAAAAGAAAAGAAAGGGCAACATCATATTTGATGGATGGCTAGAAGACAACAGCCCAGTGCAAGAAATAAACAGGTATTTCACTAATCTAGGTGTTTGCAGGCTGCAACTCAGCGTTCTTTGCAGATGACCATGCATTTTCACATGATGCCACGAAAATAACTAAACTCTACCAAAAAAAAAAAATATGCAGACAATAGAACCTTTTTGCTTTAATAGTTTGGGGGAGGGCAGATTTTTTTTTTTTTTTTAGAACTTGCACTAATCATGAGTATGAGCAATTTATGTTTGAACTGAAGTTGTAAATTCAAAGAGGAGGAAACAAAAGCAATGCTTGAGTGCCTACCGAGTCAAAACGTGCTACCCAGGTGTATGTTCATTAATACACCATTTAAAATTAATGTGTAAACACTTATTATTGTGATTTTCAAATGTTCCAAGTTCCAATGTGTCATTTACTTTTTTTTTTAAAGAGGGAAGGAATTTAAAACTTGCTGTCGACTAATTAAACAAATCTATGACGTGGGTGAAAAT